AAAGAAGGGGGGGGGGGGGGGGGGGGGGGTGTCGAGCACTTTGTCTGTTAGGTGCTTTGAACACTGGAACAATATCAATCGTCTTTACGCAGGGAGCGCGTGGGGGGTATGATACGTTCACCGAAGGGTGGCGCTCAAACGCTCTGGGTATGTTCAGGTCTTTACAATGTGTGGGAGAAAAAACGGCTGGACACTGGGCTTTTTCAATATGTACTTCGAAATACTTCTATTTTTATCAAAATAGAATAGTTCAGCAAGTTTTATCTCGAAATATGAAATCCCTCCGCAAACGCGTCAAAACCCTCACCTTCTTCGTCGGCCTCTCCCTAGTGAGCAGCGAAGGAGGATCGTTGAGCATCTCCTTTGTCCTCAGCTCCGAGAGGCACCCGGCCACCCCTCCCTCCAGCAACAGCCTCCCGAACCACCGGAAGACCGTGTCGGGCCTGTTCTTCGGCGCCACGGAGGCCAGCGTCGTGAGGTGCGGGGGCAGCTCCCACCCGTGGACGCCGTATCGAGGGGTAACCCTGGGTGGCGTGCGAAAGGCGCGGTTGTTGTTGTTGTTGTTGTTGTTGTCTTCACATTAAAAACCGTTCCGTTCTCTCTGCCTAGTACCTTCTTCTGTCCGTACTATCATAGACTAACACTTGACGGGGTCGATTCCCGTGGTCACAGGCTAACTTACCCCAAAAAGGAATACGAAAATGAAATGGACCCGAAGGGTCCCCAAGCCAATAAAAGTCAACGACAGATAGTCTAGGCCACTCCGCTCGCCTCTCTGCACTCTATGCGAGGTAACCCTAGATTGGAAATGGGAGGGATTCCTTGTGATGACTCACCGCAAAGACTTGAACACAACACATACCCTTCGACTGCTGTGGTATGCATACTATCGAACGGGTAGAACGGTCTTCCCGTGATTGCAGGCAGGTCTTTGAAAAAAAAAAATTTACAACGAATATGTGCTTTCTCGCTTCTTGTCTCTTTGGCCCCATCCTTAGCTGCCGAGGAGAAAACAAGGCGGGCTTCAGACTTGGCCGGGGCTACTTGCACCCCCGGCCTGCCGTACAGAAACGAGAAACGGCGGGCAGTTACACCATCCCCCAAGGAAGGACAGCAGTAACGAAAGCCACCACAAGGGAACAGATGCGCTTCTTTCTGTAGGAGCCCGCACTCCCCTGGAGACAATTCCTTGCGTCCAGTGTTCACGAGCGCTCAGACACCCTTCCTTACGGGCGGTCGTAAGCCCTCTATAAGGCGGGTATGTGCCAGACCGACTCACCCGCCCAATACAGGGCACCCGCCCTATTCAATGAAGTACTACAATAACCATCTTGAATATTCAATCTGTGCCAGCCAGTTCGCCCACCCTATCGCGAGCACCCGCCTTATAGAGGGCCTACGACTGAGAAGCACAATATGGTTAGCCCCGCCTACCTGCACAGGACGGCGTGGGTCTCTTCGCTGTCATACGTCGGCGGCGGCGACACCAGCGGGTCGGAGAAGGACAACAGCGGCGAGCCCTCCGCCAGAGCGGGGATCCACCCGGCCTCGATCGCGGTCACGCACGTCATGTGCGCCGCCGCTCCCTCGCGTTCGCCGCGCACGATGTCCTGGGAGGGAGGGGGGGGGTGTTCTCGGTAAAGTGTTTGTTTGGCGTTTCCTGAGTACAGAGTATATTTGTGGTACAATAGCGTTCACCGATGTCAGAGAGGGTCTGTCTTTCTTCTTTCGCTTCGACGATCCCCAACTGCGCGTATAAGGAGAGGCAAGCATCGCAACGCGTGGCCCTGCAGAAGTCAACCTTAACCTTCCATGTAAGACAGAAATACTGCTAAATACGTATGTATATCAATCACGCGTGCGCCAAGCACATCATCGGCACCTGAACTATCGTGGTGAAAGTGCTTCCACGTGGGTCGGTACATATGGCTAGACCAATCTAGTCCCGACCTTCAACCATTCAACGATGATGATCCGACTACAGCTAACTCCAACAATTACCGTACGGTACACACACCTGGTACACCACCCATTCCGGCAGCTCCAGCGGGTCTCTCGAGAACAGAACCGAGGTGCTCTTGATGTACAGGGGCTCCGTGACGGCCTCGTTGCAGCTGAGGTACGCGCACTCCCGGAAGAGCTTGCTCCCGGCCTTGACGGTCCCCGCCGGCGCCCTTCGAGCGACATTGTCCAACAGCCCAGACAACAACACCTATTGGATCGGGGAAGTGGGGAGGGGAGGGGAGGGCGGATTCATGAGTTTCATGCGCTAGTGGCTAGACCATTTGACAAAGAGATCTCGACAGGACGGAGCACGGGGAGGGAGGTGGATTCAGAACCGTGCTGTCGTAGTCGTTCGACCATTCACCTCGCATCCCTACAAGCCAGGACGCAGCACGCCGAGTTCTCAACGGACCAGGCTCGCACACCATCAAGCAAGCAATCGTGCCGAAACGCGAGAAGATGTACAAGACAAAATATTCAAAGTGTCGGGGAAATGGGTGCGATGACGTTTCGACTCGCTGGCAGTGCAGCGATTGCCGTCGTCTCCTCTTGAGAGGCATTGAATTGTCAAGGAGGAGATGCTCCCGCGGGCCTTTGCCTGTCCCCACGGACGCCCTGCTGGCAGCGTGAAGCCCCAGTAACCCCGAACAAAATGCACGCCCACACGGGGCCTCGGGGGTACTGTTGTGTACATGTGAGAAAAGCTCCCACAAGATCACGGATCACGTTTTGGCAGACTTTAAAACTGCGGCTTTGCCGTGACGACGGTGGTCAAGAATTTCCGTGCTGCCTTTATATGGCTACAGGTCACCCCGTTTGCCACGAGCCCCGCCCTCACGAGGGAACCTGGAAACCTTCCCCTTGCTTCTCGAGAAACTCCCGCCCCCCCCCGCTCAAATGAAGGACGGCGAGAGCTTCCTGTGTTTATCTCTTCTTTCGGAGAACAAGCCCCCCTCATCGCTGACGAGTAACAATGACACATACCAAGCACGTGGTCACACTGGCGCTCAGTCCGTGGAAAACATCACAAAGCCAC